TTGAATTTTCGTCCCATAAGAATAATATTAACCTCGGGTCCCCATGTCTCACTAGCAAATCGTCATGGTTAAAGGTATTCATCTTGGTATGGGTAAAAATCGTCGATGTATAAAACCATGAATTAGTCTTGTTACCTCGTTTTTTAACCGCAAGTATACAATGAAGCCTTTCATTACGAAGCCTTACTGTAAATGTAGTGTGGTTGACAGGGCTACCTGTTACAGTTATAAACAAATAATCTATGTTTTCAGACGATTATGAGATCACCATTATTTTGATCTAATATAAAATGTGTTTGTGTGCAGTACGTGTTCATTACCGGCTTTAGAAAAAAATTGTGTCGTTTTAAGTTAAAGTTGAAAGTGAACTGTTTGTCAATAATTCACATCGAAATAGAATCGTGATTCATTGAACTCGTAATGCCAAGGCTGTTTGCTGGGCTGGGCTGGATGGATAGGCCTACGTGAGAAATAAAATCCCCTGTCATCTAGTCGATTTGGAATATAAATAAAATCGTACATAAAACTCAATCCTTTCTAAATAAAACAATGAATATTTCACAAGACACTTTCAATCCCAAAACATACAGAATTTTAAATGATACATTTTTAATTTTAATATCAGTATTGTTGTTTACCTAGTTGAAGTTACTTGTAGTAAAGTTGTTAGTTAAACTCTCTGAATTGTAAAAAATATTTACTGCAGTTCAAAAACAAAATTAATAGCTGTGGTTTTTGAGAGGCCGCGCTATTGTCAGTATAAAAGCTATTGCATCACACTTAATTATCAGCACCTTATTCTCGGTTGTATTAATTTGTTTTCTGCTGGAAAATAATACCTTACAATAACCAGTAATATCTAAACAACATGATCAATTGATATCCATACGAAACATCATCATTAAATAAACAATTAAAAACTTTTGCAGACATATAAGTGGAAGCTTTGATGGTTCCTAAAATATTGGAATGTTTTTGTTTGTTAAAAATACAAGTAAGTTCATGTAAAATGTATTCTCGAAGCAAGAAGGCTTAGTTCCACCCAAATTATTAATTATACTGCGAATTCTTGATTACACCACGATTTTAGCTTATAATATTACATGTGCATGATATTATATAGTTTTTTATAGGCCACTGCATATGATGTACTATACCACTGCATTTATACCATTGTTCCATGTTGTCTACTATGTTTTCTATACCGCTGCATGATGATTTTAATGCTATTGATTACGCTAATGAAGGTTATTGACTATTCCACTACATACAAGCTGCATACCTACTAGTTATGGCTGGATGCTGCATCTAAAGCAGTCAACCAGCCCATATACTCAAGTGTTTATGGGAGTCTGGTTGTATGGTCATAGGACCGGTTTAACTCGCGGATAGGTGCCAGAATAAAACTGGTATTTTAACACTCTTGTGTGCTGATTAAAATAAACAGATTTGTGTGCCCGTAAGGATTAAAGTTTTTACTTTATATCTATTACCTTTGCATTGTTAAGAAATTCACCAACTAATAGAATGTAAATCTTAGTTAGGAAAACTTTCTAGCGACAAACTGTACTAAGAAAAAAGTAATTTTGTAAATGTGTAATTTGACTCACCTGCGACCACAGAGATCGATTAGTTATGGTTATGCTAACATTGTCGTTGTTCGTTTTAGCGAATTTCCCTATAGGGAAGTAGCTATTACCGTAGGTGGCACGGTAAGACCTAGACCCGGGACCGATTTACTTTTTCATTTTGATGTCCCCAGAGGCCAAAAACACTATTCGTTCAAATTTTTATATATGTATATATATATATACTTATATATATATACTTATATATATATATACTTATATATATATATATATATACGTCCGTGAACGCGATAACTTGAGTAATTTTTGTCCGATTTTGATGAAACTTGGTTTAAAGGTGTAAAGCGGCTTTAATGAGTTCGCGAACCAGCACGATCGGACCATGGGAACGGGGCTTTACGGGGGATTTATGGGGCAAAAATTGGTTTTTCTCACTTTTGACCCTCAAAACACAAAATTTCCCAATTTCTCTTTAGACCTTTTTAAAGAGCTTTAAAAAAACAAATAATTTAGTATATAAAAGTATTTTTGTTCGATTATTAGTAACGGAGAAAATTAAAAAAAATTTAAATTTAAAATTCCCATGTTATTCTTATGGAGAATATTGTCAAATGTTGTAGTTTGCTTGTTTATGAATATATTTTGATCAAACTTGGCAAATGTATTTATTTTGTACTAAGCTATCAATATTTTACTCAACAACACACTTTATTAGTTTCCTTGTAGCAGCAAACCTAGGTTCAACTCGTTAAACCTAATGTTATTAAAATATATTTAACTGAAAATCAATTCAGACAAATGGAAATTCGCTTAGTCGGCAGGTTTGCTGCGGCGGGGTTATTTGTATATCTGATTTGTGTTGTGTTTTATGTATTGAAATTATTTCGAAGTTTTAACGCAACTTTGGAAAAGCTGTTCTTGCAACGAAACGAGCCAGCAATCTATTGGTGTGGATGTTTGACTTTAGACGGAGGAAGATGGCCTATTTTGTTTGTAAGATAATTTTCAAAACCCAAGGTTATGTGTATAATTGTATGCGCAGCCTTGTGTAAACAAGTTTATGCTATTTAATTCATGAAGCTACCATGACCAGACAACAAAGTAGGTTTTAAGTTTTGTAAAAGAAAATCACATGTAAAAATATCTAGTTAACTGGTTTTAAACCTATTAACACTCCTATTAACCTATAAACACTCTATAAAATAATCCTCAGTTATGTCAGATGAAGATATTAAGCTCAATGCCATATTATCGCTATTAGTGTGAGAAACTGCTAATTCTACAAAGTTTAAATGAACTATTTTGAGAAATTTAAATTCTCTTAAAACAAATAAATTGCCAAAAACAGACTCCTACTTATAATTAAATCCTGATTCCATAACCAAACCATGTATCTAAACTAATCAGAGCCATTAACAACTCTACTTTTAAATCCTTTTATTTTGAATGCGATCAATGTTTTTTTGGTGTGGCCTTGGATCAACCTGAAACGTTTATCAGCTGATTGTCCAGCCAGACCACCGTGAACCTCTAGGCGCTATGCACAACGCGCCGAGGCTTTGGCCTGGATCCTAGAAAGGACCGTAAACGCATTTTTTACCTTTCAATCCGTTCTGCTCGAGTTTACGTCAATCCACGGACGAATAAATTTTGTTTCGTACCAGTCAGGGTCCGAATCAGGATCGTTGGTCATGAGTTGAGTTGATATAGGACAAATCTGTGTGAATCAAATGTTCCATTTATTGAGCGGAGCGAAGCTCTTATTTCTTCATACGATCTAGGGATTCCAATTGTAATTCAAGGACCGTTCCAAGTCCTAGCCTTGCTTCTAGCTATCATAGATTTTTGTAGATAGTGTTAATTATTAGCTTATCGACAAATGGAATCTGATTACAGGATAGACTCCTCTTGGGACTCGTGTTTGAAGACGAACCACTTGAGTACCCAGAATATTACAGCAAAATGCCAAAGGGTGTACAATAAGCACTTATGTGCATATTTGCCAATTTGTCCACTTGGGCTACTTATTTACTCGAAATATTGAGATAATTGTGGTTTGACTTGTATTTAGTAAACAAACGTCGATGAAAGAAAGTAAATAGTTATTAAAGAGATGAACACATAAAATTCTATAATGTGCTGAAATGACACGTTAATAAGTCTGAATACAACTAATTAGGGAGTGAATGTATTTGGCAACATAATTAATTAATCCATGACAGATTTAAAACAGTATAAGCTGTATGCAAAATATGGTCTTCGCCATTTTCTTTTTTTAATACGGTAGAGTATTGGAATTTATAACAAACCTTAACCCTCTATTATCAAACAATAATTGATTTATTGGGGAAAATATTATTCATGGGAAGAAAGAATATCAAAAGAAAACACAAATCAACCCATCAAAATTTGATAATACACCACATAGAGTACAAGTAAACGACTAAACCGTAATCTAAATTCAATTTATATTGTATTCCATTAAAACATTTTGTAACTCAAACGATCCAGCCTTGAATATCTCAATTTAAACATATAAATATAATTTTCCAAACAAGGGATCGTCAGAATTAACCTAGAGATCTTGTCGTGACCAAGACCGATTTGGTGAGAGGATCACTTTATGTCAGGGACATATCCTCAGGCTTCGGTTACAAAAACATTCAGGATCCTCTCCTTTTGGTGATGATCATAATTATAGGCAAAGGTAAGTGTCCTGTGGCGTGCAGCGAATAGCGTGTGAGCTCCAAGCTCCAAGAGTGACAAAAGACCTTGAACTTTGGTGAGAGGACACATGGGCTGATGTTGAAAAACAAATTTTGAACCCTTTCTGTGATAGTATATTTTGTTAATAATTATTCCTGGATTTAGGAGTAGGCCTAGGCATTCATTTTTACAAATGTGTTTTTAGCATTTGTAATTTTTTTTTCAGTATATATTTTAAATTCAAACCATATCTGATCATGTAAAACTTATTATTATTTAAAACTAGTAATATTTAATATTTAATATACTAGTAAAACTAGTATTATTTAATAGGAGTAAGTAGCTTAGATTGGTAATAAATTCAACCTTTCACCTTTTTAACCTTTTCAACGCATTTTGAGAAAAGACAATCTATTGGCCTAATAATCTTTAAAGCCATCGGTTTAACCTGGCGTTAAGGTTTCCAGGGCCGTGCCTCTGTATTTTGCACACGTACAGTTTCTACTACTGTACATCGATTTGTATTACATGATTCTCCAATGAGTCATAAATTCCCAGTCTCATGCGAAGCAAAACTGTTGTTGTTTGTGTGGCACAATATACAAAACAATTAAATCATCAAAACAAATGTGCATTACAGCTTTTAAGACACCAGTAAACAAGATTTCTTTACTCAGCAGACATTCAGTGATAGTTTCAACTCACCTTTGGGCATTCCACAAGGACCCTTTGTCCTGCTGTTATCAAGGAAATCAAGGTCATATTTCCTCGCAGGTGGAAAGGTCAAGGCCACATGACACTCCGAGTAAGTGATAACAGCCGAGAGTGTCACAATCACTGATAAGAGCGTCCTTGATATCGCCATTTTATCACTCCTCAAAAACTCCTGCCTCCAACACAATCCATCTGAAACAAAGTGAAATTGTAAGTATTCGATCTATATCAATAATGCAAATGTTTTCAACATTCAGCCGAAAGTATCCGATGTAAGTAAAAAAATTCTCCTTAAGCTTACGAAAGAATACGTTCATTTAAGGCGATAGTTAACGATGACATTTACTATTACAAGTATTAATTCCAGTCCATGATGACTGATTTTTTTTACTTGATTTCGAGTTGTGGGTCAAAGTCGTGCTCAGCGACCGGTTGACGTCAACGTTGATTCGTGTACTGCAGGTGAAACTGGGGGACGTCCTCAGCTATCAGGTCCCGGAACGAGTATTAAAAAACAAATATTTACAAGGTTTAGAAATCTAATATAATCCTTCATCAGGTGTGAAATTATTTACAAGATTAGGCCTTGGTACGAAATGTACTATTTCTTTTGTCCCCGTATAATAACATTGAGCAATCCATTGGTTCAGAACTTGTATCGCACTTTTTTGCATGAAAAACTGTATACCTGAGGTATTGATGTATTGGCTGCTTAGTCGATAGAGCAACGGACTTGTAAACAATAACAGCGATTTTGAGACTTCGCGTCTCGGTGCCGTCACCAGACTATCAGTACGGGGCTTAAACACTTGAGTGATTTGATACTTTCCACGGACAGGTCTGATATTATATGTGAAGGGCAAATTCAACAAACGCCTCACACCTCTTTTAAGTAAACATATTTTTTGTTCAACTTTTCATTAGCTTTTTATGTTATACTAATTAAAGTTGTAATTTTGGGCAATTTTTGTAGGACTGTCCCCACAATACTAACACGAATCACTCATCAAGACTTTGCTCGAATTCCAGCAACGTGACAAATAATCGCGTGACAGTCTACTTTAATTATGTCCGTAGGTAATCAGTCATGCAATGTGTTGTGTTGCGACTGTCAGTGTTCCCGTCGTGGTTCGCACATTACAACTCCGTTACTTCATCTAATTAACTAATTAATATCTCCCCATCGGCGCTACGAGGGACTTACGATGTTAAGTAACGTTCGGGAAGTGAAAGTAAGACCAGTGGAATGCGAACTCAACTGTCCACCTTGAGGACTTGCGGTTTACAGGTTGTTGGCATTTAAGTTTTTAAAGTCAGATTAGGTTGTAGTATTTCATGGATGATTGTATAGCCAGGTAAGCAACTGTAGTCACAATTAATTATAATGCACAATGTGAAGAAGAGGTGGTTTCGTGGTAGGGTAAACGTAAAACTCACTCAATCATATTGCTGAAATTTTACGTCAGGCTAAATCATGAACGCAATAAACAAAAGTCCTATAATTGGATTATTTGTATAATTAATCGTCGCTGGTTACGCACCGATAAACTTTAAGGTTTCTAGCTAGAGCTTTTTGAAGTTAATCTTGATCGGTCTCCTTGACAGCTAAAACCACTATTTTTAATTCAGCTTTGAGCAGTGGATTATAATGGTTGTTGAGGATATTTCTGCATGATGACGTCACTAGCTATGTTCTGGATTAAGGATACTTTGTGTGTGGATGATCTGTTATGGATCGTATACTGTGGATGCTCCATTGTACGTCAGTGGCTTGATGACTGAGCAAGAACACTAATGGGTCTGTTTATCAGACCACATTCCCGAACGTCTGTGTATGGCTGGTTTCTCTACAGTCTACACTTTCCATCAGCTCGTATCTGCAGACGATGCAGGAGTAAAAGTAGACAATTCAACACAAATGTAACTCCTTCAATGCTTAATATTGCGCTTCCATAGCATTACTTGATCTTCAAAAAATTGGGGCACAAATATTATCCCGGTGGTAAAGTTTGTAACTTCTAAACCGAAATGTCAAACGTTTCTATTGAAATTTAAATGAATAGAGATGTAGCTCCAATCATTCAATTATCTGGATTGGTTTTTATCGCGCTCCCCTGTAAATCAAAAGGTCGCTGGTTCAATCGTGAGAAAATTAAAGAGGTTTGTGACGGTTCAAATCTAGACGCAGATGTCTTTTATAGTTGGGGTTTCAGTAAATTGCCCTGGTAAAGAAACAGCTGGATTTAGTTAATAAAATACTACACAGACCATCTCACTCCATTCAACACTTGTCCTGAGACTTCCCCACAAAAACGACCGACGTCATCGCTTGACCACTACAATATCCCTACCACCGTGTAGCCGTGATGCCACAAGACCTGTTTTTTACTCCCACTTAATTCACACACTGCCCAAGATTACCCAGTTGTATCTGCTATTACCCCCTAACGCTACATAATTACTACCTGGTTTTCGCGGTGCAAATTCACCCGTTATACTGGACCCGGATCTCCCGGCTGAATTAAATTGTAGGTTGACCAATCCAGAGAACAGATCAGTGACTTGGTTTGTGGATCAGATCTGTTGTTAGGTTCTTTTGAGGTACATACGTTACGTAATTCAGTATTTTCACTTCAGAGTGTACAATTATTGTTCTATAATGTCCACTCTAGCGACTTGTTGAGTGAGAGAATCGCTTTCAATGTTCTTTATGGTTTTGATTATATTACAGGGAGCGAATGCAGTAGGTTGAGTTGTAAGATACGTTCAATTTTAATTATATTTCCTAATCTATACTTATAAAAGGCAAAGCCCTCACTGACACACTCACTCACTCATCACTAATTCTCCCACTTCCCATTTACCTAGGAGGCTGAAATTTGGCACATTGATTCTTTAGGCATTGAATAGGAAAACTAAGTTATTTTTATTCTGATCGGACTCTCGGGCTCCGCCCCAGTGGCTCTGGAGTTTCCCATGTTAACCTTAAGAGTACTCATATTTAAACGGAATTAATGAATCTTAACAGCTGTTTCAATTAAACAAGTTGGTTCTGTTCTATGATGTTCAATAGCATTAAAGTTACAAGGATTACCAACAGGGTGCAGCACTATTATTTTTTTATTTATGACAACAGCTAAATTGCAACTAAAAGGTGAGTGAGCGTAGCGAACGAACTTCAACCTGGAGGCGAGTTAGCGTAGCGAACGAGCTAATCTGAAGGCAAGTGATGTACGGGTGGATGTTTGTGACAATTAAACGCGAAAAATACTAAACCGACATTTGGTATGATGATATCTCACATTCCCGATTACCATATAGACATATTCTTATCTCAAAACTCCTTTCGGGCTCCATCCCATTGGTATTGGTGTTTCCCATGTTAACCTTATCTTCTGAATTTATGACAACAACTAATTTGAACTAACTAGCAACAAATAATTGTGGTACACAATGAGAACTTTACTTTATTCTATGGTTTATGTGCAGTGGTAGAACATTATGGCTATAGTAGATATTTGCTATACTATAGCATACCGTATAAATTAAAAGAAACAAATGTTCTTAAACCGTGTCCTCTCCCATAACTGCAATAAGCATATAGCTAGTAATATATATATATATATATATATATATATATATATATATATATATATATATATATATATATATATGAATATTAGTAAGATTATAATAGTAAGTGTAATTACGTTTTATTAAAAGGTGTACACATCATTAGTTGGCTCAGCTCCAAACAGCTGTAAAACACACATAAGTAACACAGTCGATGGTAATACCACAGACAATGGAATAAACCATTAAACCATTAAACCATAAACCATTAAAGTATTATATTGTCTGTGGTAATACACTTTAGATGCTGGAACACACCTCCCATCAAAATAGACCAGCTGTTGCTACTTGATTAAACCACGAGCTCTAGGTTAGCCTCACATGGAGTACAGAACTATTTAAGTACTAGTTTCAACGTCATTTGTTTAGGTTTATGATCCATTCCGGGTTTTATTCTAGTATTCGTGCTAGTTTTTCGTATTCGAAGGTATTCTTTGAAGATGAACTTTTAGTTCGGAAGTTTAAAAAGAAAAAAAAAAGAATTATGCACTTAACAATCACAAAGAACTAGATATAACATTTTTGAATATGTACATGGCACTAAGTTAAACCTTAACGAGTCCTCTAGTATACACGATCAATCATGACTAAATACACATAAAGTAAGAACACCTTCGACTTTACTGTCATCACCGCCGAATCAGCTGTCTCGGCTGCGCTTTGATATCATTCCGCGCACGCGCCGTACTACGCAAGCGCGGTAGAGTGTTTCTCAGGTTCACGTCGTGTGGAGTGTAGCCTTTCACACGGCTTGTGGCCCAGATCGCCGTCCTATCACTACCGCGGCCCCGGTTGGCCTTGACGGGTCGGAGGTATGCGATTGATGGGGTCAAAAGCTTTGTAGGCAGCGTGACTTAGGAAAAAGTGTGTTGCTGTTCATAAACTTAGTGAATAAGTAGGATTTGTATTTTGTGGCAAATGAAATGTCTGTCGTTTACTGTGTTGGGGAGAAGGTAAACCACAAGTCTTGTAAAATACGCAAACAGGAATTATTAATAATTTCACGTTGTGTTGTTTATTCCGTATCACGTTGACAAATATTGTAAACATTAATAATATTTTGCCTGAGCAAGGTGTTCGTTTAATAGTAAGAATTAAATAACTTCTTGACTAGCTCTTCAAGTGCTGGTGCTATTACATCATTGTAAGAATATACGCTCCCCAACACATTTTCATGTAAATCATAATTTATAGTGTTACCATTTACAAGACGATTTGAAATTGTTTACAGTGGTTATCTTGAGCAGTCACGTCAGTCATCGTCTGGCTAATAAGTTACTGTATAAGTATAAGGAGTATATGGGATTGTTATATTGACATGAGTTACTTTGTAGGCCTAAAACAGTTCTTGTACTGAAAGACGCTCGTAAATAAAGACATTTTTATTTATTTATTTATGTAATCTGATACAGTTGCGTGCTTTGTGTACGTGGCTGAATATTAAATGCAGGTTGAATCTAGAATAGAATGGCCAATGGATGATGTAGATGATTGTCGAACAATCAAAATGGCCCAATGTATCCAAATTACTCGCATTACCAACTCTTCGTCATTCGGTT